AAGTTAAAAATAGACATTTATACACCATTCGATAGACAATTTCAAGAGCTACATTTTGCACTATTTATATTTGAAAAAAGGATTATTTCGATTTTCCGCCTAATTTCCGCCTATATGCCCACTGTGTATTCCACTCATCTATTATACACCTGTTTTTTGTTTTAGTTACTCGAAGTATGGTTGAGTTGGCTGCCGATTCGTGAAAGTACAGAAGAAGCATCATATGTCTATGATTATTTATGTGATCTGGCTGAATCGTAAGTTGACTTTGTGAGAAAGAGGAAGAACAGCTGTGTTTTAATATGAGAGAAAATTTTTATGCACAGAAAAAACAATTCATTGCGACAAACGCAAAACAATTCATTGCGAAATATTTTGTTTTGCTGCTAAAAAGGAACAAAATTTTCAAATATCAGGGGGTAATCTCACCGTTCTCCCTGTTTCTTCTGAATGAAAGTGAAAGTCTTATCCAGATATGAAGGATGCATACTTTACTTAGCTAGGACTCTCTCTTAACAAAATGCTTTAAAACTTTTCAAGCCGTCTTTTGTAATTCCTGTATGAATAAACTATCGAGGAAGAAAATTACTTTTTCTTATTGTCGAGAGACAGCACAATTTTTAAACATACATATAAACGACGCCGAGTTCTACTCCACTCAAGACTAGTCTCATTGATATGATTTTTTCAAATAAAGAAATAGTGACGTCCTATTGAGTGTATCCGAATACAGATCTCTTTTGTTCTAGCAGCATTTCTTTTGCTTGTACAGACCACAAGTGGAGAAAGACACATTGTCTATATCTGAAAACGCAGTTTTTCTCTCATGACTAATCAACGTCTATAAGCATGTTTTTCTTTTTTCTTTTTCTCTCTTAAGTATCCTCTCGTTTTTGTCTCTTTCTAGAAACAATCCAATTATTGTCAATAAGCTGCGAGATTTCGGGATGCTACAAAAAATATTAAAAGATTAATTTATTTTTTATTGTAATTTTGTAATAATTATAATCAATAAATTTTTTGATAAACAACAACTAACTAAATGTATTCCTCTTGACTGGTGATTTTTATGAAGGGAGTGATATACTACTTAAACAACAGCATGAGTTCAAGAGAGTCAGTAGAAGATCAAGGACAAGAGAATCATTTTGATCTTTTGTATTCATTAGTCATTATGGTTCCCCTTTTTTGCTTTACTTTGGAATAGAGAGACTGGTCCTGCATATTTCTCATATCTAAAACTATTTCAGAGATCAGATAGAACAATAAATTTAATACAAAATGCCACTGTTTGCATTATCCAGCTAGGTGAAATCGATCTTAGCTTCAAATTTCCATTAGCCTATGCTTTCAAAGAGTGTCCTGCCTGACGCGAACAGGGTAGAAGCCTCAGAATGGTCCCATTTTGTATTAAATTTATTGTTCTATCTCATTTATGTAACTTTAAAATAGTTTTGATAGAGAAAAGATTTCTTAAGGTTTTTTAGATAACCAGGTGTTCAAGACCCTCTTAAAACCCATCAAACTTGACAAATATTTTACAATATTCCAACAGGTTTCTTACCTATTATATCAAATTTTCGTTGCACTTGACTCAGAATTGGCATTTTTATTAAAGAAACACACTTCATTAATTTTATATAAAACTCCATGGATTCACGAAACATAACAGACAAACCAGAATCTCGGAAAACGAATATGTAACTTTTCTCCTGACAATTTGATGGTTCGAATGAAGTATAAAATGTGGCTTTATGAATTAGCTAGATAAATTAGATAGGTTTGCAAGTTGAACCCAGACCAGTTTTTAACTTCTTCTCTAGACCGAAAGTTTCTTCCACCATCTTACACCTGAAGAGCGTGAAAACTAGGTTTTCTTATTCAGTTCTCCTTTCTGAATAAGAAAAGTTTTGTTCGAAAGCTACAACGCCTGAGCTCAACAAAATCAATTTTATTGAAAAATTAACAAGCTTTTTTTATATTTAAACTCTTTAGTTTTTCAAATTTTTCTCTTCCCAAAGTCAATTCCAAAGGCCATAACATACATATTCTGACTTAGCTCGATGATCTCTATTCAGTCATGTATATATCATTGAGAAAAGAAAAGTTCTCATTCTTTGAATTGGGCGCACCTTACATAATTCGTTCGGACATAACTGGGTCATTACTAACCGCATATTCAGACTTGTATCTCTATGAAAACGTTACGTTGCCACTGTTTCGCTCAAATCCAAGAGAAGAATGTAATTAAAAATAAAATGTATTGATACAATCTACAAATGTACATTCAAACCACTGAGTGATACGAAAACTAAACACGTTTTAACAAGAACTAGATTGTTACTAGTCCTTAAATGAAGACTTGTATTAGATAAATGTCATCGCTTCATCCAATAATTCATATAAAGGCAAAGATTCAGACAAATCATAAACTTTTCCTCCTTTCATTGTTGTTCATTTCTGATCATAACATCTTGAACAACACCCATTTAAATCACTGACAGTGCGGAGTCATGACTTATATCCCGAACGGGATATTTATCCCGATCGGGCTATACGATTATCCCGATTGGGCTACAAATCCTGATCGGGATATAATCAAGATTCGAATCGGGATATATATCCCG